TTGTTTAACAACAAATTTGACAGAGGGAATGCATCCACTTCCTGTGCGTCCCCTCCTCGGTCGAAAGACAATGCATACAAATGCGGATTTGTTAGCAATTGGTTTCGCTATTCCGGCGAATTTCGGTAGCCATTTGCTCGTTTGTCACTTTATACTATAAAAAACCTAAACATACTACCGCTAGAGTATATATTGCGATTATATTGGTGTTATTTTTATATAAAAAGTAGTTTCTAGTGAAATTTATCCCGCACGTGTATCTTGCAGACCAGTATTGCTTGTTTGGGAACAATTCGATACATACGGCACTAAACTATTTCGTATATTTTTATATAAATTTGGTTAATATTATTTCAAATCTCACAATGTACTCGGAAATGTATTACCAGTATCGCCAGCCATTCCGCCACTCCATACAATACGAAGATCCAAAGTTAATCACACTTACGAGCTAATTTGGTGTTCTATGTTACTTATGTAGATATACAATCTATAGATAGAGTATTCCAAGTTTGACGTCTAATTGAGCGTCGAGTCGCAGTCATTTACCACACGGAAGTTAACCATAAAAACGCTTTTTTTAATTTGTTTTTAAACCATTTTTCATCTCACATTTGAAGTCTAGATTAGGTATCTATAGGTAATACGTTGTCACACTATTATCACTTTAAAAACATTTTTAAACTTAACAAACGTATTTTGATTTTTCTGTAAAGAAAATCTTTAAAATATTCCCTTGAAAAGTAAGCTGTTTCCCGTTGGGCCGATCGTGCCACAATTCTCTTCCCGTTGGATTTATTTAGATTTAAGTTTTCCTATTAACTACCAGTCAAGGAAATATAGAGGATGTTTTTAAAGTCGAATGTCCCAACGGGAAATTTTCGTGAGTTTCCACCGCTGAGACATTCAAATAGAAACATGTAATTACAATTTGATAGATATTGAAGGACGCAACACGTTTCATGTGAATGTTTCAGCAGTGGAAACTCACAGCAAACATTACATTTGCCTATCTCGTCCTTTTTATGGCAGATCTTCAGTTTAATAAAATTTCGTCTGAACCAGAGATAGTTATTCATTTATACACAAAAGTCAATATAACATTCAATTACGCTGTAAATAAAGCCCGGTTTAGACTTAGCCAGTACAGTGGGACAGTAGCGTAGGTTAGGCAAGGTGTATACTGGTCAGTGTTCATGTATGCCAGTTACTGAACGCTACTGCCAACTGTACTCGAGTGCGTCCCAGGCGTACATGTCGCACCGTTTGTATATCATAGTATGTCATTTGTATAAATGATACATGTCGCACATACTACTCGTCAGCATTCAGCAAACAGTACAAAACACTACAATTAGCATAATTAACAATATCACTAATTCGATAAACGACCGGTATACATTCCAAGACTTTAGATATGAAAATTAGGTTATTTGCATTGATACAGATTTAATCTACGAAAGTTTATTGCTAAA